TCACCTTTATAGTGTTCACGCGTTAGGTCAGTAGCTAAGGTGATCACGCGCAGAGGAGAGGCCAGTGATGACCGGACGCCATGGCACATTAGGTCACCTTCGATCGGGCACATTCGGTCTTGATTTTTGCGCTCTGGAACCTTACTGGATGTGATCGGACGCACTGTGAACGTGAGTCCGGTCGTTTTGGGGATGAGTCCGGTCATTCTTTATCCTAGGACCCCTGTTCACTTGACCATTAGAGATCGACGCACGAGATTTGAACGAGGGACATGTGGCAGCCATCTAGCGACCGGACTCGGGTGACCTGACGTGGAGCCACGTCCAGTCAGGTGCGTCTGGTCGGCTCGCGACTGGCCAACGGTTCTATTTCGAGGGGACATCTATAAATAGTGTTTGGCCAGTCCTAGGCTTACCCTCTTGGGACTTTTGACATACTTGACATCGTTGTGAGCCTAAGCAAACACTTCCCACTCATCTCCATCATTGATTCATCATCATAGTGAGATTGGGAGTGATTCGTAGTGCATTTGCTTGAGTGATTGCATCTAGTGGCACATGGAGATCGTTGTGGCTGCAGATTTCTTGTTTCTCTTGGTGCTTGCCGCCACCTAGATGGATTGGAGCAGCGGAGGAGCTTCGTTATGTGTTGGTGATTGTTCATGGCTGGCTCCGGTGATTGTGAGGGGTCTTGCACCTTCCCCGGCGAAGAGCTTCAAGGTAGCTCTAGTAAAATGATTATGTCATTGAGTTACCTCACTTGTGGATAGGTTCTTGCGGTGCATCTTGTGGTGGGCTAGGTGTGTGATACCTATTAGCCGCCGAACCACCAAGTGTTGGTCCACACAACAGGCACTAGCGTGCCGGCAAGCACGTGAACCTCGGGAGAAAAATTAGTTGTCTCTTGCCCATTGGTATTCTCCCGGTGATTGAATTGGTATTCATCTTGTGATTGGTTCACTCCTCTACGCGGTGGTATAATCACTCTACTCACTCATTTACATTCCTGCAAACTAGTTGTAGCAAGATTTTTAGTGTAGCTAGAATTGAGAGCTTGCTTTCTAGCTTAAGTTCATCTAGTGGAGCTCTTTCGTGTAGCAAGTTTGAGAGCTCTTAGTGACTAGCAACATAGCCTCTTGTGTGCCTAGTGATTATAGCAACTAGAATTGTTAGATAGGTGGCTTGCAACCCTTGTAGAGCTAGAGCAAGTTTGCATTTCGCTATTTGTCATGCTAATCAAATTGCTCTAGTTATCTTGTAGATTTTTAAATAGGCTATTCACCCCCCATCCATATTAGGACCTTTCAAACAAGCGTGTTGATGAAGGCATTGTTCATATATATAGGCATGGACAGTTGTAGACGATATCGGTTTAGACCACTATGATGATGACATCATTGATAACATCTAAAATTTGACACAAATGGGAAACGATATTGGAGAAATGGTGTGTTACTCACTGGCAAACAATAATTAAACCAACAGGGTGTTGAAGAAACTAAAAAGTTTGGTGTAATGAATGAAGGTGACACTAAATATCCTAGTTGCAAGGAGAAGTAAACAAAGTTGTTAACATCACTTAATCTTTTGTAGTCTAAGGCAACCTTCCACTAGATGGACTAGCTTCAAAGCATTCATAGATCTGATACGGGACATACCTCTAGAGGGTAATGAGATATACAGGACCACCTACAAGGCAAAGTAGATCAAGCTTCAAAGCATTACTAGTATATAGTTAGTACTATCACAACTTTCCATCGGTACTCTAGCCTATGTCGCATGGGTTAGAGTACTATACTATAGCATAAATGTTCTCTAGGCTATTGGATACCTTGCTTTGCAGCTCACCCCATGCATGATTGTGGTAGTCAGCAAATGGTGACAACCCTATCTGACCTTTGTAGTCCACCATGTTCGGGTGAGTTCTTAAATCGTAGAGTTCTTTGCAAGAAAGGTTTGACATCCTTCTCACCTATTTTTGTTGTCAGCTAGGTCTGCCCTCCTGTATGTTTGGTGTGTGATCACTAGTACCTAGATGTACTTAGTTATATATTTGGTGTATGCTTGCCATAGTAGTAGAGAACTAATTATGTTTACACTCATCTCATTGGCCTCCCAACTAGGCTAGCTATCTACATTTATCTTAGTGGGACTCCGTTGTGTTTGCCATACTACCCCCTTTGTATCATTTACCCCAATTAGACTTTGGTATATTAATTGTGATATAGTCAACAGTCAAGTCACATATTTAACTCTATTCTTAATCACCGCTTCTCTACGCATAAAACAAATACGGTACCTTGGAATACTCCCTAGTAAAATGCTACAACGGTATCTGTGCGCTTGCAGAACTAATCACTTGAGCATAAGAAATACCAACAACGTCTCGCCTAAACGAGTATAAACTCTTGTGTCCTATTTGTTACCCTATCTGATCCCTGCTCATGAACTAAATTTACTAGTCAACGGTGTGAAACATTGACAAAACTTTTATATAATTTGACTAATTAGTTAAAGTTTGTTAAATTTGACTTTTCATGAATAAAATTTATTTATCATTCCAGGACGGAGGGAGTATAATGAAACTGAGGAAGTATATTTGTGGCTTACAATTGGACAACAATCATAAATTCATAATGAATTATATTTAGGCAATGAACTTCCAACTTTAATATCATAAATTTTGTGTATTTTTCCTACCAAAATATCATGCATCACCTAAAACAATAACATCAGATATGTTGTGTGTATGTTCTTTTAATGATTTTTTTGTGAAAAGTTAAATTTACTTGATCAAAGTGAATATTTCAGATCATTGTGTTTGCTGTTCAAGAACACTTGTTTTGTCAAATGATCAGCTACTTGGGATCTTAGCTGTAAGAGACACTATATATAATGTTCTCTCTCCTTGTGTCCATTTCTAAAAGGTCCAATTTGAACTGCACAAAAATAGCCACAAAGTAACCCTTAGAGTATCTCAAAGAGACTCCTTATATCTTTCCTAATTTATAAGAATAGAGATTTTGGTGGAAAAAAAAACCCTCCAATAGCCTCTTCAATTGGATATCTAAATATAGACATCCTCTATTCTAGTTTTCTCGTTAGCCAAAGATGAGAGCGAGGATGGCTCTCTAGAGTACACACAAGATATAGAAAAACTGTTGGAGAGTGCAAAGATATAGAAAATAATGTTTACTCAAATGACTCTCTAAACGATGATTTGATACTAGATTTTAGAAAGGCTCTGCGAGATGCTCTTAGAGGCCCTAGATATGTTTAGCACATGAACATGCATGATGACTTTTTCTAATCCTATAAAAAATATTATATTACTAAATTCCAAATGTACACCCAAAAAATTGATCTGTTATTTGTGAAAACATATGCCAAAATTATACCAAGAATGAGGAAACTAATTAGTCTTCTAAAAATCAAAAGAGTTATATGCATGGGTTGTCTCTAAACTTGTGAAGGGTTCCATTTATGTCCACAAACCAGAAAACATATTTCTCGGTCCTTAAACTTGTTAAGTGATACACCATACGTCGCTAAACTTGTTAAATGGTGCAGCACAAGTCTAGCTTTGGACCATAGCATCCATTGTATAGTGCAACACTTAATAAGTTTACGGACCCATAAAGTTCAACGGTTGCTCATGCATTTAACTCGAATCAAAATATAATGACGAAGTAAATCTGAAATTCTTTAGGCAAATTTCCATAATCTAAAAACTCCACTCTACAAGATGACATGATTTATTGAAGCCAAGTGGATCCGAAATTTTTTAAGCAAATTTCATATATTATTGAGCAAGCAACAAGTATTGCTCACCCATGTACATCTCCTTGAAACCTTATACAACCATTGGATTCTAGCTATATGTACTGCTAAGATTGTGAACTGCTTGCTAAGGTTGCTTTTGTGTACATATGATCTCACACTTGTATTTAAATATAGCATAAATGCAGATGCTCACATACATATATGCACGCATACTCTGCACCTATGATCTCTCTAAAAGGCTATGCTAGATCGATCAGCAGATCTTGAGATTAATGAAATTATCATAGTTATTTTGATGTCATGGGCTTGTTTTCTACCACTAAAAGATATAATAATATTAAATCTTTAAATAAATTTAAAAAATACGAGCACCGATATTAAGTTGGCTTGAATTCAAATAGATAGGTTTAGGCGAGGTGTCCATGGTGACTTTGTGAATCTCGAGATCTGTCAGCTCAATTCTTTGGAGGTGTTCATAGGGTTAGGTTTGCGTATATATGTTCATATATAGGGGTTAATGTGCGTACGTGTTTGTGGACGTCTACGTACGTTGTACAGTGTAATTTAAAAAAAATAGATGGGCTTCAACCCCAACAAACCTAATCTACTGGGATACGCTGATTTTGCTTTGATGTCACACCCTAGCTTTTTAACATTCTAAGATTGCTTGCTGCTAGCTACTTTCTCTATGGACAAATGGAAGGGTTGTTATTAGGACAAATTAGAGCATCCACGATGGTCTTTTTTAAAATTCACTCTCTAAGGACTTCTTTGGCATGGCTTATGCCGGCTTCGGCTTCATCTATTTTGCGTAAATCGAGGCACTGTAGCGTGAAGCCGTTTTATAAGTCGGGGTTAAAATGAACTTGAAGCCGGAAAAAGCCAGTTTTTCTGGTTTCACCGGCTTTGGCTTCCGGTGAAGCCATTTTGGATGAACCGTGTCAAAGGGGGCTTAAATCATCATTTCGTGAGCTATTTGCATAAAGGTCATTCTATAACAGTTTTCTATATCTTTTGTGCATTCTAAATAGTTATTCTCAAATCTGGATATAACTAGATGAAAAAATTCCACCACTCCCGCCACCGCGCTAGCACTCGCGCCGGCGTACGTCTTCGCGGCGCCGCTCCTGCACCACTCCCTCCACCAGCCCGACGCCGTGTCGCGCGCCGCGGGGCCGTACGCGCGGTGGGCGATCCCGAGGGTGTTCGCGCACGCCATGAACATCCCGCTGCTCATGTTCTTCCAGGCGCAGAGCAGGATCTGGGCCGTGGCGGCCATCTCCGGCGCGGCCCTGGGCGTGCACGCGGTCCTCACCTACGTCGCCGTCAGCAGGCTCGGGTACGGCCTGCCCGGGGCCGCCGTCGCCGGGGACGTCTCCCACTGGCTCGTCGTCGCCGCGCAGTTCGCCTACATGACGACGGGCAGCCGATTCACCGACGCGTGGAAGGGATTCAGCGTGCGCGCGTTCAACAACCTCGGCGATTTCGTCAAGCTGTCGCTCGGGTCGGCCGTCATGATCTGGTTTGTTTTTTGTACTCTCCGTGGATCCACATTGCCGGCCGGCTTATTAGCTTCATTTCCAGAAATTTATTTTATTTTACTTTTATGTACTGCTATACTGCCACCGTACAGGTTGGCACAAGTCGATATACATGCTTACGCCGGCTCCTAGCACGCCATGCGGCACAGTGGCTGGAGTGGTGCTGGAGCTGGACCATTGGCCAAAGGCCTAGCCACCACAAGGGTCAAGGGCAACATGTGAAAGCCACGTAGCTCTAGTACCGAGTTAAGCGGCGGCTTCTTCGTTTTCGTTTGGACGGGCGTGCGTTGAAGTGCATTAGAGTAAATTAAACTTAAGTCTTATCCCATTCCACTTCGATACACGTGGATTGAAGTGAATATATACACATTCAAACAAGCTCTTAGACCAGCAATGGCATGATGAGGGTGAGCTACTGCCTAGCCCCTGCCTCAGCTTCTGGCTCCTCCCACTCGCTCAGTCTCTGGCTTGTCTAACCTCCATACTCGGCCCTACCTGCTTCTGCCTTCGCCTCCCCTAATAGCTACAGTAGCGCAACAACGACGGTCCTGTTCATCTGTCTTACGAGTCATACTATTTTCAGCAAACGAACAGTGTTTTTCTCTCACGATAAATCAGTAAACAGTACTTTCAGCCATAGCTTTTTAGCCCAACAAATAAGCGAACAGACCCATACAAGAGCTTCTCCTTCTCTCGTACATTTCTCCTCCCATACCTTATGACCCCGGCGACAACGGCTCCTCTGAGTTGGCTGAAACTGTGGCGTCCCCCGCTACTCGGCGGTGCACGAGGAACTATTTACTGCTGGCTGGTTTGGTGTGAGAGAAAAATACTATTTCAGTTTATAATCCACGATCGTATACGACGAAGCGAAGAGGCTGCTTCTCCTGTATATGCCAATCGCCATCCTCGTGTGACTGAACAACGCGTGGATGTGTGACGAGCTGGCATGATACAGCTTCATGTTTCAGACAGACATTAGTAACACAGAACATGGCTAGTCTATGTTGCGCATGGGCTGACGGTCGAGCACGCGGATGGACACAGCACGACCCTGCTGGCACCACGTGATGTGCTTACCTCGGTAAAAGCGGATTGTACTTTTTCAGGCCCGAGCTGTGCCGAGCCAGACGGTCCATATGGCTTTGCTTAGTATGTCTTCTTGTTTTGTCTGTTGTGCTCTGTTTGGACATGGTTTCTTTGTCATGTTATCCACTGTTAGTTTTAGTTAGTGTTTATTAGTTAGTTAACAGTATTTTTTTCTTACACCAAATCAATAATAGTCGGACTTATCAACTCAGAAACCAATCAGCGAACAGACTCATGGTCTAGTCTTCATTCTTTTGATGATAAAAGCATTATATTATATATATACACAGCTTGGAGTTTTGGTACTACACGACACTTCTCATTCTCGTGGGTCTCCTCCGACAGCCCAAACTCCAAATCGATATCATGTCTATCCGGTGAGTGTGTTTATTTGTGTGTGTGTCTATATATATATATATATATACACTGAGTGTATCTGTTGGAGATGGCAACAATAATTCCTTATATGGATTAATTTATGAATTTGTTTCGTCGTCGTCTTTAATTATTCTGACAGAAAAAAAATTACTGCAGCCTCAACTTCGAGTTCATGACTGTGATGGTCGCACTGGGCTTCAGCACAGCAATCGGGTATGCAAGAAACAGACCCAATTGATATAGTACGCAGCATTGGACATTATTAAGTTCACATATATTGTTGCATTGCTACATTAATGTATTATTTGATTGACAAGTATAAATCCCGTGGTCTCTCCAGCATTAGGGTGTCCAACGAGCTGGGTGCAAACAGGCCCAAGGAGACAAAGATCGCAGTGCTTGTAGCGGTATCGACATCCATCGTCATGGGAGCAATCTTCATGGGCGTCGTCCTCATTTGGAGGACAAGCCTGCCGAAACTCTTCAGCGACAGCGAGGAGGTGATACATGGGGCTTCCAAGCTGGGGCATCTCCTCGCTCTCACCGTTTGCATGAGCAGCATCTGGCATGTACTATCAGGTAAAGTAGTACCGTACCGCTTCACATGCATTGATGTTACAGGGTGTCAAACGAGTTTGACTTGGTTTTTGGTCTAAATTAGACATATATGTGTGAAAACATATATGAAAGAAAGAAAATTACTGTCTGCTCTTTTCTTTCAGGCGTGGCAGTAGGAGCTGGGTGGCAAGTGCCTGTGGCATTCATAAACGTCGGTTGCTACTACCTAGTGGGCATTCCAATGGGCATCCTGTTTGGCTTCAAGCTAAAACATGGCACAATGGTAAACTAGCTAAAATCCAGTTAAAAATGACTATATATTTATTCAGTATTAACCACAATTAATTAATGCTGTTTGAACAGCTGAGGCAATAATGTTTGTATTCATTTATCTGTGTTGCAGGGCATATGGATGGGCATGTTTCTCCAAATGTCTATACTTCTAGGCCTCGTTTATATTGCAACTTTTTTCAACCTGATGAATAGTACTACTTTCGTCTTATTTGGTAAATATTGTCCAATCGTGGACCAACTAGGCTCAAAAGATTCATCTCGTGATTTTCAACTAAACTGTGTAATTAGTTATTTTTTACCTACATTTAATACTCCATGCAAATGGCTAAAAATTGAGTGGAAAGAGAGTGAAAAAACTTGAAATTTTGAGGGTATCTAAACAAGGCCCTAGCCATTACCTTATGACAGTGGGTGACTATTGCAGGCCGCGCTGGCAGAAGTGAGAATGGCGGAGTGGGGAGGAAAGAACGAGAACCTGCCACTGATGGAAACAACACATACGGATAATCATATGGCTCCTGCACAAGAGAAAATGTTGGCGCAGCATGACAGCCAGAAGAACGTAGAATTAGTGTGCACAGATTGATCACGGAATATATATTGACGTCCGTTCTAGACAATATATTCTTCATTGTTTGGTAGGATGATACCATAAATCTAATTTTTTTAGGAATATATTTCTTTTTCTGAAAAAATCCAAATACTCCCTCAAGTTTGGACTATGTACATCTAAAAAAAACGTATAAACTAACATTTGGTTTGATTTTCCCTCGTATAATTTTTAGCTAGTCCTTAGAGCAACTCTAACAGTAGAGCTATTCATGTTGTGTAATCTATATTTGACTATTTTTGAAAGAAAAGAAAGTCCAACAGCTATTGTATCTGGCTTTCCAAAATAGAAAGCCATCTATCCCGGAGTTCTCGCATGCTAAATATAGCGCATGTGCCACTAGCCATCTGTCTCGCCGTACTAAAAAGGCTGTTGGAGTTTTCTGGGTTTTTTTTCAGGGGTTTCTATTTTAAAGATTGGCTAAATTATGACTTTAGCCATCTATTTTTATCAACTCTTTTGGAGTTGCTCTTACCTCTTCATAAGATTTGGGTTTATTTTCTCCACATATACGTTGAGTTTTAATAAGGTTTGTGTTTCCTTTCTCCACATAGCGTAACTCCTATCAGTTCACTTAACCCCACTTTAGTTTAGTTGATATATTAATTAGCACATATATCCTTGTTAGTTATTGATATCGATTATGCATTATTTTCCTGAGGGTAAATATAATACTCTGCAATACTCTTAGGTGAAAGATACAACTATGTTTGTGTGTTTGCTGATTCATATCTATCAGGTATAAGAATCGCTAACCGATTAACCATAATTGTTCACATCTTCACATAAGTCTAGAATGAATCCACTGAATGAAAAATTATCTTATGAGACTAGTGGAGATGAAACTGGAGTCGTGCTTTTGTCCAGAGAGAAATTTGCACAGACCAATGATTACCGAGGCCTCCATCGTATAGTAGAACTCAAAAACAGGCCAAGAAGCCACCAAACAGTCAACAACCCACTTAAGCACACCAAGGCTTATCATGTGTTTGGTTGCTAGGACGGGGTGTCCTGGGTGAGATGTCCCACCTAGACTCGTGTTTGGTTGGGAGGCAGCTAGGGCAGAGTCATCCCCGATGGAAAATATTTGGCAAAGGTGCGAGGCAACCCCGTCCCCTAAATTTCAACGGACGGGGATGTCCCTCTTGGGACGCGGGCTTGTTCGCGTGGAAAGAACGACGCCGACAGTGGGGGAGGAGAAGAGAGAAGGTTGTCGCCAGTGAGGTCCAGGCGTGGAGCTCAGTCGTAGCCGTCGTGCGGGTGAGTGCCAGGTCTAGCTTCGGTGGTCTGGCCCCGCCACACGCACCGACAAGATCCGGTCGCGTGGGGGATCTCTAGCCCGGCCACACGAGCAAGCTCGTGGCGACAAGAACCGGGCTCCGCTACACGACCAAGCTCACCAAGCTAGCAGGGGAGCTATGGGCCCACTGTCACCTACCTGCGGGTGACCTCTGACCTGGCGCCACCCAGGCGAGTTGGAACCCCCCCCCCACCCACTTGTAACACCTCTGGTGTTACGAGCTCGCTTAGCACAGAGATTATGGCCTGAGAAATAGATCTATAAGTATAGTGAGTTAGTTTAATCAAATGCGATATTGAAAAACCTAATCCCTAGTGTATGGATAAGTTAATAGTTGACTTAAACAGTGATTTTTATAAAGCGATAATAATATAGAACGTGTGTTTGGGGTTTTAATAAAAATTGAAGTACAAGTCAAGTAGATGAAAATGCAACTTAGGTTTTTGAAAACAAATGTTGATGACTAGGGTTTTTGCCAGCTCAAAAATCAAATTGGAAATTAAAATTAGCCCTTTTCGTTAAATCAGCAAAAATTTGCAATTGTGTTGAAGGTACACTTTTTGGTGATTTTGAAAAAGCAAAATAGTTAAATAACGCCCTGATGTCTTGGTTCTATTGTTTGGTACAAAGTGTGTGTTATGCAGTGAAATGGTTGTTGGTGAAGTTTGGTAAAGTTTGACCATTTAAAAATTCAACCAAAAGTGCTTAGGAACATTAGCTCTAATTGGAACCTTGAATTGTTTAAGTATGAAACGATAGTAGACAATGCTATTTTGGCATTCGATTTCCAACAAAAATGGTTAAGCACTACACCTATGTTTTCGCATGATCGGTTGCAGTTAGGTGTATACTAGGACGTGGTGCAGGTCGTGGTTACGTTAGAGTTACGATGCTCATGCAAAAATTGACCGAACTTCGCTAGAACACGTTGAGGACATGTCGTTGGCACTATGTTCGTGAACCGGCGCCTGTAGCGAGCGATCTCAGCCGCTCACCTCAACTACCTTGCTCCGCTCGTAGTCGGCCATTCGCTCCACCTACCCGAGCTACTGTTGCCTCTGCTTGCCTGCCTCTGTTTGTCTTTGTCTGCCCCTGCGTTCGCGCTCAAGTGGAGGCCGAGTCCTCGCGCTGCTTCTCTCTTCATACCACGCACTCGTTCTCCCTCCCCTTGCCCTCTACCGGTCACGGCCCGCCATGGCGAGCACCCAGTTCACGAGCAGCCGCTGATGCTGTTTCCGCTGCTCACAGCCACCTCGCGCTGAGCCAGCACCTCCACCAGCTCCGCCATTTCCCTCTCGCCTCTGCGCACCTCCTCGCCCAGCCTGCCGTGGTCGGAGCCCCGCCACGCTCTTCCATCGACGCAGCCCCAGCCGGGCGTCACCGACGTCTCCGTGGCGAAACCCATAGCGTCGTAGCCACAGTTGCCTCCTCGGACCGCGCCCTCCTCCTCGCGTACGCATGTCGCTGCTGCGCAGACACCCGCACTAGGAGCACCGTTGCCGCCGCCCGCCTGGCCGGAGCCGCCACAGCCGGCGTGCCCGCCACCACGACTCGCGTGAGCAAACTGCCGGGAGCCAGCTCAGGTCTTGCCGCCGCCAACCCATGGCCGCTTGGTCTCCTGTGCACCTCGCTAGCGAGCTTCCCGCCGCCGCCGTGCATTCCCCGGCCGGGATTTGACCGCCGGCCGGTGCTCCTCTGCTCCATGCATCGAGTGAAGGGAGAAAGGTAAAAATAGAAATGTTTCTTGGATCTAAATGCAAATTGCGTGACTCTAATGAATAGTGCATCACAGTGCTTGTGGATCTCAAGTTGAATAGAGAAAAGCGCGGGGTCTTTCTCCAAAATGCGCGCCCGTGCCTGGGCCACGCCGCGTGGGCTAGCCTATTGGGCCACTCGCCTCATGCCTCATGCCATGCCTCTGCTTTCGGCGCCCACTGGCCTGGGCCTTGTGCTTGCCCGCCAGCGCTTCTTGTTGTCGGGGGACTTCGAGGAGGCGGGGCTTGAGTCCAAGTTTGGACGGAGCTCTAGACCCCGTGACTGGAGAGTGGCGGGTTGGTCCTGCTTGTGCCAGGGGTACAAGCGGGGCGTGTGTTTCGAGATACCCAGCTGGGCACATTGATTCGCGAATCACCAGTGATCTGGTATGACTTGTCTACAATCTAGTATCGTAGTAAGAACTGGAATATGAAAGATGTAAAAACTAGTTCTGATTACTTACCACCTGTTCGAAAGTAGCACAGGTGCTTACATAGAATGGTTAGTTAATGAACTAATGATGACGCTGATAAAATTGAATATAAGGACGCATGTTTAGTAATGCTCCTGCAGATGCAAGAAACCCACCAGCCAGATAGCCTTGAATATCCTTAGAGTCTTTTCTTTCCTCCTGTCGGGTAAGTCTTGCTGAGTATAATTGAGTACTCAGGGTTTTATTTCCCCCTATTGCAGGTGACAGGTGGATGCTAGAGCTGACCTTTGTGTGTGGATTCCTCCTGGTGGGCTCAGAGAAGATCTCCTTTACGCTGCGATCATAGTCTTTATTTATAACTCTCACTAAATATTTTTATAAATGGAGGTTTTGTAATCCGTTGTCATAGTTTATATATTAATGCTTCATCATGTCATGAATATATATTTATTTCCGCTGTAACTCTGATCACATGTTTATTTTCCGTTATTAAATTAAGTTGTTCATAACTCTGATGTTGTATTAAAAGTGATGTAACAAATGGTTAAAATGATGTAAGCCTTATTCTCTTATTTGTGATCCTAATGGAAAAATGTGAATTTTTTGGTTCTCCCTTGGGGTGTGCTCGACGAAACTATGTAATTTGGTGTCCTCCCTTGAGTACTTAGTGTCTAATGGAAGACAAGTACTCCTGGGTGGCATTAGGTTAGGTGGTTCTGCCACAGGTGGTATCAGAGCATAAATGAGGAAATAAAGCATCAGAACCTATTTCTAAAATAAAACTTGACAACAAATTCTTTTCAAAAAGTTAGGACGTTGCATGTGAAGTTATATAAGTAGCCCTATCACTACGGTTATGTATCCAGGATAGATGGCACTCTGCTGACTTAG